GATATAAAAGTGTGTAATTATATTTTTATATTATATAATATTTAATAATAATTCTATAGCACCGGTGTCCACCATTCAATGCTCATTGCACTTTTATTAATTTATCTATTTTTCTGGTTTGTTTTATAGGATAATGATGAAGATGAGGTAGACAAACGACAAAAGAAGATAAGGTAACTTTTACATGATCCACAATCTGTTTAATATACAGTAGTGGATTAAGAGAATATTTTGAAACAAATACATTACATTGAATAACAATTTCTAAATTAGTTTGTTAAGTGCATTTTGTATGATATAAAGTAAAAAAACAGATACTTAAGTAATGATAATAATGATAATCTTGGTTTGTTTTTCTGTGTCTTCTTTTTAGCATCTTGAACATCGCATGCATGGGATATTATAATAATATATGTAGCCAGTTTCCATTTCCAATACTGTACTATTAATTACATCTATAGTAATACTAATACTAGTAATAATAATAATAATGATGTGATGATGATGATAGTGATAGTAAATTAAAATAATGATAATATTAATGGTACTGTAGGGATAGGGATAAGAATAATGATATTGATAATAATGATGATAAAATGATAATAATACTATGATTTTAATATGATGAATAAATTGTAAGATATTGATTAATGTATTTTGTTTGTACAGAATGAATGACTATTGATTAAACAAATGATGCGGTAATATGAAAATCAGTTTTTGTATGGTCAAAGCAGGGAGATGTAAAAATAAGGTCAAAGAAACTAATTAAATATTTTACTTGGTATTCTTGCAGCCTAAGTGAAAGCTTCTTTGCAGTTAAAGGAGCAGCGCTTGTTCTTCCACATAGCATTGAAGTTCGGCTCATCAAGAAGCATCCAGGTAAGTCATTGCACTTTATATGTAACGGATATGTACTGTTGGGAGTGGTTTAATGAGATATTATTATTATTATTAAATAATCTTATGGTAACTGATAAAATGCAGTGTCCGTGTTTCTGTCCTATGGCAAAATACACTGACATTCATACTGTGCGTATTTCCGCTATTAAAACAAGTAGCCACATGAAACCTATGGTAAAAAGAATTTTTGGGTTAGGAGGAAATACTAACATTCTGTATAATATATATAATATATATATATAATATATATATAATATGTATTCCACCAAAATAATATTATAGCAACATCGAACCCAGTGAAATTAGTGAAAGTCATTATGTTACGACTCTTTGTTTTCACTCTACTAAACGTCTTCCAACATGAACTGATAACTGTTTCCAGGAAACCTGCACCTTCAACATAGAAACCTTTCTATACTAATTTTATGGAATCCTTGTAAACATGGTTTCATGTTCTTGGAAGGAATAACTTCCTTGATTGGGCCAAGGGGCGTGATGTATATAGGTGAGTCTTAGGTTACAGTAGATCTTTCTCAAAATGAAAAGTGACGGATGCACCCCAGTATTGTGAAACGATGATTTCCAAAATGGTTTAGCATAAAATATTTAAAACATATCTGAAAAAGTACCGTAGTACCGTACCTTGGTTATTTTCAATTCTACCCCCTTAAACTTTCAAGCAAATTACACTACCCAGGCACAAACCTACCCTGAACTTCAGATGTTTGTATACTGTATTGAAATTCCTGATGATGATCTAATAAAAGATCGAAATATTGAATCAAAATGACTAGTCTTACTTTGTTTGGAGTATGTTTTATACTAAGGTATTGAAATTCATACTCAAATTTCTTTATATAAAGATAATAACCTTGTATAACAGGATACAATTAAGAGTTTCCTAATAATCCATTTTATTACCAAAGAAGTGATTACAAGGGTAATGGTAAAATGGAAGTGAAGGTTCATCTTATCTTATATAGGGAAAGAAAAACAGAACAATGAACACTCAAAAGGTCAAGAGAAGAAATTAAACCAGCATGTTCTAAAGACATGACAATGAATATGATTGTTTATGGTCAATCAATCAATCAATCAATCTTTATCGTCCAACATACATAATATATAGAGTACTGGAACTTCCGTTTTGGCATTACATGAACATCTAAATATATCAAGGAAAGTAGAAAAGTACATTGATCAATACACAGAGAAAAACAAACTAATTCAAATTATGCAAACAATTGCATAATTGTGTCATGAAACTGACTTCGCAGTGTTGTGTATAAAGAATACTTTGTTGATTGTGGAGAGAATTTAAATTGGTCTGGCAAGTAGAAAGTAAAACTTTGCCGAGCCACTAGGGCTCATACAGTATAGACCTGGACCTAATACCCAGTTCCTGTGAAGCAGATGAGAGTATAATACTCCCCTAGGTGGGACACTGGTCCACTGGAGGAGACTCCCAGCAATTTGCTGGTACCCATTGGTAAATATAGATAGACTGTAGCAATGTAGGTAAAGTGCCTTGCTCAAAGACACAAGTGAAATACACAGCCGAGGATTGAAACCCTGACCTCGATGTTGGGAAACCAAACCATTACCACTGCTCCAAACTGCTTCTGGCAAGTATACCTACTTTTAAATGATGCCCTCTCAATTTAAAAAAGTATAAGCAAACAACAAGAACAACATGCTATATACATTTTTATATCTGTGGGAGATTATTATACCAATACAGATTGTATTTTTAACTATTGTGGATATAAAGCATAATGATTAAATTCTACAATAAAGCATGTTATTCTGGTTCACCTTTTTATCTGGACTATTATTAAGTACAAAAGTAAACACTACAGTGCAAATGTCTAGACACAACTCCTAAATTTCGCTAGGGGTCATCTACTGTTTGCACAATGACACTTAATAGGTCTGTCCCAAAAGCTCATCAGTCAATGATTAATTTGTAATGAACTTGTTAATATCAACTTATTTGAGTTTAATTTCACAAAATAAAAAAAAAGATAATATATGTACTTTATAGGCTTGTGCCTGTATTAACTAAGTACAGCAATTAGCTGTAACCTGTCCTGCGTCTGCGCAAGATCAAGAGTGGATTGATTCCAAAGGGGGACAAGTCAACCTTTTTCATGTTTGTTACTTTTTTCCATATCTCTATTTCTATCATTTATAGTTATTAAATTTTACTTTTTGTGTAATAAGGCCCAATAAAAAAAAATGAATAGTTTATCACCCTTGCACACATGTCTTCCATGGTGTTGAAAAAAAAAAATATTTTTTCAATTTTTTTTTTTTTTTTTTGGGTGGGGAGGGTGGTGGGAGGGTGGGATTTTTTTTGTTTTTATTTTAGTAAATTGTAAATATTGTTTGTATTACCACAATCATGTATTTTACTTTGAATATCAATGCACCAGCAAACAACTAGGGTGATATTTTTCTTTACCAAAATAAAAAATAAAAAACCTCCCTCCCTCATCACTTTTCCAGTCTAGATAGGGTCATAAACCAAGGAGGTATAAATACCTCCTATAAAGTAATACATATTTTATAGGGTACTAATTTCTAACCTCACTAGTATTAAAACATGCATGATTAAACTATTAAACAACCTGACGAGTAGCCAGTTGTATAATATTAAACATGTTAAAACTGTATACTCTTTTGATGACCTATGACCCATTGAACTTGGTATCAGGAAGTTACAGTGTAGAAAATTAAAAGTACTAAGAAAACCTTAAAGTGAACTAATATTAATTTTTAAAAGAGATAAATGGAATGTTTCCATTCAACAAGAGCGACTGCTCACCAGTCCGCACGTTAAATTGAGGTCACCTTCAGCATTTAACGCTTTTGGTATGCACTTTGAGGAAATATCCTCCATGGTTAAATACAGCACACAGTGGTGTAATTAGGTTTTCGGCATGGGTTCATAATTGTCAATAATTACTACCAGCAACAGAGAAAAAATAAATAAAAATAAATAATATAAATAAAATAAAATGTCTTAAAATAAAAAAAATAAAAATAAATAAAAATTTAATACTAAGATGCGATTCAAACTCATGACCTTTGGTTCCTTAGAAAACATCGTTAACCGACCACGCCATTCATGTGATGTGTCCTATTAGTTTTCATTGCAGTAATGTAGGCCTACAGTCTTTGTTTTGTAGGTATAGGGACATACTGGAGTCAAACTTAAAAAAAGGGCCATGAATATTTTTTTGGAAATAACCTCTAGTTTTGTGTACAAAATTGTTCAGTTCAAAACTGTCAACGCTGGACGCTTTTAAATTTGATAATAACAACAACAAGAACAGCAGTTGTGTTCTGGGGTCCGCTGTGTGCGGACCCAGTTTACATAAAGAGATTGTTTTAATAGTTGTATATATACATATATGTCAATCATTCTGCCTTTGCTAATTCTGTACTAGTTGCTAACCTTTTAGAAAGGGAGGCTCAGTCCCTAGTAGATAAGGTTAAAAAAAGAATAATGACTGATATTCTACTTTTATATTCTGTATTAATTTAATTGTTAATTTTGAAATATTTGTTGTTGATTTTTAATGCACTGTCAATCGACATGTGCCGCTGAAAAAAAGTGTATGTTCAGAAAAATAAATATGATAGTCCTTCTACACCTGACCAATATATTTAAAGTGAGTACAGGAGTAGGCCTATTGAAAGCATGATATATAATCATTTCCTTTATACCTTTCTCTTATCATTTTTATCTCTACTTGACCTCAATTTGAACCCTGAAAGGATTTTTTTTTTTATTTCTGTGAATAACCACACTGGCAAATGACCTTGTTGATAAAGCATTATATTTTATTATTTTCACATTAATGTTAATCATCTGCCATATATCTGCTATGTAGTACAGTATTCATCATTTTGTGGACCTGCATACGTCAACATGGTGTGTCATGTGATTGTACAACTCATATATTGATTTGCTGTAAACTTAGATATGTTGAATATTCCAACCGCTAACTTAATGTAATGTAAAATTCTCAAAAAAGTATTGGAATATATTTTTTTCTTTTTTTTTTAAATAAAAAAAACCAGTGTAACCTCAAAAGCAAAACAATAAATAACAAAACACACAAATCAGATCAGCATTGATTGATTGATTTAATATGTATTATTAGAGGCCAGTGAGATGGGAGGATTTTTAAGATAGAAATATAAGAGGCTGGGACCACTCCCATAACATGGCTTTAGACTCTGTTCCTCATGTAGCTCAATTTATAAAATGTACTGTGTGAGGAGGAGTGGTGATCCCCTCAAAACATTGCACAGTCTGGCCGCCAATGCTTACAAAAGAAGGTTGGGCACTCTGGACCTGCAAAAGGTTCGACTACGTTTACCTCACTTAAGGTACAGCTCTCAAAGGGTCTTCATGATGTAATTTTAATGCATTTTCTGTGCATTCTCCTGTTGGTTTTTCTCTCACTTCTGAATCATGTGACTCATTGGCCTGATAGTATAAATTTGTACATGCTAATCTGTGACTTGAAAATAGATTATGCAAATTATAATTTTAAAATGTGAAGATCTATACTATTCAGTGAATTTTAGCTTGTGCATGCATTCATGTCTTGATCAGGGTCTATTTATGAAGTGAGCCCTCAATAGTCTAAATTAATATGGAACAGGCTATTATCAAATAGCAATCTCTAATAATGTTCTGTGACATAGCCATAAAACATAGTGATGATAAATTGCTAATATTATAATTTCAATGGAAGATGAAAATACACTGACTTTTCATTGAATCTGATAATTAGATTAGATTATATTATTGGAATTAGATAAATAAATTACATAAAAATTAATTACATTTTGTATTTTTAATTTGTGTTTAGTAATTGGAGAATTGCAGCATCATCTTCAGAGTATGTTTAGTCTTCTACGTTCAAAGGATTCCATAAAATTGGTGAGACAATAAGAAATCAACTGTAAATTTAAAGCTATTAGTAGTTGACATTGCAAATGTAATAAGCGCTACGAAAATTGATTCTCTTTTTATTCATAAATTAGTGTAGTTTCTTTCCGTATATATGTGAATCTATATAACCATTAAGTTTTTACAGTATTAAAGATTTTTAATTTTGAAATTAATTTGCTCATCTTGCAGTCATACATATGAATTCTTCCATTGATTACTGTATAAGTGTTTTTATCATGTTTTGATGTAAAATTATGAGTAAACATTTTTAATTTTCACAATTTTTATGTTACCGGTATTAATTCAGAAGAAGCAAGATAAATTTTCAAAAATGATTTTTAGGATTTTTTTTGCATGGGACAATACAATCTTTAAACAATTTGAATATTCACTATGAATATTCTTCTTCCAACAAGAGGGCAAGACTGAAATTTAAGGTTCGGGTTAAGCTAGCTCCACCAATCATCACCACGGATTTACGTAAAATCCACAGTCAATTTGAAGTTCACACAAAATTGCAAATTGATTTCAAAATGACAGACTAGTACCTTTGTATCTGAATGGGTCATCAGCATATTTAATTTAATAAGGCTTATATAATCTACAATATATTTTTTAATTTTTTTGTAACAAAAGTATATTTGGCGATGGGAGGCAACACGTTAATTTCATTTCAATGTTTTATTTCAAAATCAAATCAACATACAAAATAAAGTAAATTAAACAGAATAACATTGTGATATAAACATATTATTAAATAAGCAGTTTTAAAATAAAGTTAATGCATGTTTCATTATGTGAATAATGGTTAAGCAAAATAGGCAAATGAAAAGTTCAAATGCCTTTAAAGCATACTCACCTTAAAGTCGTAACCAAGTTTGCAATAGATGATTAAAATAAAGAAGTAAATATAAAAAAAATCTAAAGTAATAAATAAATAAATTGCTGCTAGAATAATGTATCTATATCACAACATCACAATGTTGTAGTTTCAAGTGGTTTACTGTACAATAATTAAAGAAACAACAAACAAGATAGTAATTTACACAATATAGTTTTAGATTCTTATCCAAAATGAACACTGTTGGGTAAATTAGAAATTGTAGTATTGTTTTGTTCACATTTAGCTTGTGAAGCTCACTGCACCTTACGACCATCGCACAATGAATCCAACTTCGCTTCTATGGGGTGCCATACGCAGCAAAAGTCAATGTTAAAATCAAAATGTAATTGCAAAATTCAATGTCTAATTTATCAAAACGTAGGCGTAAATTTCTCAAAATGAAGTTCTAATTTTTCAAAACTTAGTTCAAATTTTTCAAAATGTAGTTCTAATTTCTTTAAAATGTAATTCAAATTCAAAATGTAGGTCTGACTCGATCAAACACCCTCTCCAAATTCTATTCCAAAACGTAAATCTAAAACCAGCCTGGTTTGTAATGCATTTTACAACAACACTAGAAATGGACTTTTGCTACGTATGGCACTAGACTTGCAAAATGTAAATCAAAACTAATCAGCCAAGCATGACGTGGGCCTGTTCCATTAATGATGGGGGAATCATTTTTCGCTGCAGTCCAATGCTGTGAACAACGCTTCCCAGTGCGTCTGCTAATTTAATGGTCAGGGTACCGCGATCACGAGCACTATGCTTGACATTATAGGTTAGGGCTTATGTGGGCTAGGATTTGCAACAAGGTCTTGGACTAGGCCTCTATACTATAGTAGGAGGCCTGGTCCTAGTCTAGGCCTATAATATAGTAAAATTCTGTATAAGTAGTCATATGATTACAGGTTTACATTGTACCAAGATCGATATTAACGATTGCATTTATTTTTCATTGAAAATAAAAAGAAAACTTTTAATAATTTCACTTAAGGATTTAAAAATATTCCAAACCTGTACGCTTAAAAAAAAAA